TCATAGCCAAATACCAAACATTCTTCCCAAGCATGAAAGGACCTTTTACAACACTTGACTTCTGAGGGTCTACAAAGCAAAGTTTAAAAGACGTTAAAAAGAAAAGTCAGTATATCACACAAAGCTGCAAATTACATTCTCTGACCATACCACAAATTAAAAAGAATGGGAAATCTTTCAAAAGAGCCAGCTTAAATTAGCTTAATAATAAGACCCTAAAAATAAAGTGTGAGTCAAAGAAGGAATAACAATGAGACACTCAAACCCTAAGAATGGAGTAACAGTTAACATACACATTTCAGCAGGGCAGATAAGGGGACGGATGCAGAAGGACTGCTCATCCTCCTGCGCCAGCCTCCCTGAACGCAGAGATGACAGCTGCGCGTTACCACACCCAGCAGGCTGTCTTTGTTATTTTATAATAATGACTGGCACCTGTGTTTTTATGCCAGGATATTGCACAGCTTAATTAAATAGTCTAAGAGGATTGTCGTCAAGACCAGTGAGATGGCTCAGTGTGTACATACTGGAAGGAGAAGACTGATACACACATACAAAAATTCTTCCAGTAGGGCACTTTATGGATATGGACAGCTACGCTATGTGCAATTTTGTTTGAAGATGGAGTTCGCTGTTTTGCCTTAAACGCTTGGGCTTAAGGAACTCTCCTAGGTCAGACTCTCACGTAGGTGGGATTGTAGGTGTGTACTAACACACCCGGCTTAGACTTTTTCTTTTTTTTTAATGCAAAAAAATGAAGTCTCCTTGCTGATAAAACTTCATTCATTAAAACTCCTAGAATTCTTACTCCTCCTCTGGGTGACTGGTAGTCATACAATACACAGTCAGTCAAGGCTGGATCGAACTCTTGTCACGGTGGCTCTATTGTCACCCAGGGAATTGATTCCGCTCCCCAGGTAGGAAAAAAGGTGGATTTTTATTGATGTTTGGACTCGATGTGGCACACCACATCTTATGACTCATAAGATGAATCATTCTTTATTCTATATATAGATGCAGCTTAGACAGCAATATATTTGCTCACAGACTAAATCTTGGCACCACTTAAAAAAACTTGTTGAAGTGCAGCCAAGGGAGTCCATAGATGCAAATTTATAGCTTTAAATATTTACACAAAAAAAAAAAGGCTAGAAAAACTGAGCTGAGGATCCAACTTACACTGGAAAAAATGTACCAAAGCACAGTATAGAGGAAAAGTGATAAAGCGAAAAACAAATGATGCCATAATTGAGAATTAAAAAAAATAATATAACAGATACTCTGATGATCAGTTAATTCAGCAAAAAAGAGGGAAGGCACAAATGACATTTCACATTCACACAATACAGAGACACATTCTTTCTAGATATTTTAAATGTACATTTTAGCTGTGTGTATGTCTATATACCACAGGCATGCGTGGTACCCATGGTGAGGTGAGGATGGGGTTTGGATCCCCTGGAACTGGTTACAGTTCTATGTGATGCTGGAAATTGAATCTGCTCTGGACAAGCAGACAGTGCTCTTAACCACCGAATCATCTCTCCAGCCCTAGTACTTCTTTCTAAAATACCTGTTGCAAATTAGAGACACTGCTTAGGCCAGAATTGTGGCTTGGCTATCTTGCTTCTCCAACACATAGAATAGCTCATTAACATGCTTAGCAGTACCTTAGGGAGGGCAGCATTAGGCTGGCACTGGGGGGGAAATCACCCTATCCAGTTGGCCTGTATCTTAGGACAACTGTACAGGAATCAAAAGAAGACATTGGAGGAGGAGGAGGCCAGAGAACAAAGCAGCCAGCACTCTCTTCAAAAGATCATCCATGTCCTTCAAACCAACCTTTTTACTTTAGAAGAAAAGTGATGGAAGAGCAATTGTCTATGTGTGTGAAGGCACCCTGAAGTAGAAATGTTTTGTTGTTGTTGTTGTTCTTTCCTGATTCAAAATCCCTTTGCCAGTCTTCAAGGTCCCTGCCCTATGCACTGAATGAAACATCCAGCTGGTAAGGGCTCTGACTCAATGTCTGCATTCCATCAGGTTTGATTCTGCCCAATATCTAACAAGCAGATGAGGCTAAGACTCTCCGACAGAACAGCCTATGCTGAAGGTCAGCTTAGGCAGAAAATCCCCTCGAGTGGATGTGGCTTGGAACAGCTCTACAGTTGACATTCACTCACTCACGTGGCTCCTTGGAATGCCTTCCAATTGTTATGAAGCTAGGACAAAGGTAGATGGTTCTAAGTGACTGATTTACCATGCTCACATCAGGATGATAAGGACCCACTGCACCAAATGAAGTCACAGCTTCCTCAGCAGCCAGCCTGGCTGGTTATTTAGAATGCCACCAAGTGAAACAAAGGGCATATTGACTAGAGGACCACCATAGTAACAGAGGACTAAGGTTGACCTGTGACAACCTCCTTGACAGCATGGGACACCGGCAGAGTCACTAACCAGCAACCTCAGCTCTCCTTCTACAAAGCTAAGACAATTCTACCTCTCCCCAGTTTGGCTCAAGGACCAAGTATCACATGCAGCCTGTCTACTTTCTACTTCTCCCAGTGTGTACCCTTTGTATGTCCTAAACTTTAGGTCTCTGAAAATACGCTCAGCTCATAACATTAGCTGAAGCTAGAGTTACAGTTTTGATCATTACTTTGATAGTATTTGAAATAACAACAATGAATTTGTTCATATTTGAAATCAAAGAAAGCATGTAGAACCCTATGAGGTTCTGTGAGATTCTGAGTTACTTTGGGTGGTGAGTGTTTTCAGGACAGACGGAGGAGTTTCTACCTGAGAGCCAACACATGAGAGATGAGCCACAAGAAATTAATATTCTTTGGGATTTGGAAAGGAAATCTTTCCAGAAAGTTTCAAAAACCTCATCAACAGCTTTAAGGCAGGCATCTTAAATAACATTTTAGTTTGCCCCTGAAGAAGTTTGGTTACTGTGTGCACACTGAGCTGTCAGCTGCTAGTGACAATAATGGCATAGAGTACGCAATATGCAATAATGCATAGAATGAGAAAGGAAGGCCTGAAGAAGTTAAGTGACAGACTGAGGCCACACAGCTCTCTAGAGACCATGTAAGGATGATCTCCTGCCTTCCCGCCATCCTGCACTTTGTCTAAGAATGGTTACCTCTCTGACATTGCTCTATTGACCCTGGGCCCTCAGTACATTCCTGAAGCACCTGTCAGTATTTGCTCACAGAGTTTTATGACCCTCTTCTTGGATGCCCAAAGATCACCTTCACTCAAGAGCTGGTGTGCGTTTTGGTTCTGAAGGCTTTTGATGTTCACCTTTTAGGTGTGATATCTGTATGCATATACACGCATGAGTGTACACTGGGGGAGGGGTCATGCATATGTGTACACGTGTACACAGAAATCAGGGGGTAACTTTTTTGTTGTTTTTTTGAGATAGGGTCTCCGGAATTTCACTGAGTGGGGTACATAGCCACATATGGCCTTTCAGGAAACACCAGCTTCAATGAGCTATACCCCAACTTTCAACATGATAACCAAGGAAAGGGGAACTATAGAAAAAGCATTTCTGTCTCCTGGTAACACATTTTCCTTGTTATCTAAACAAGTGTTTTGGACAAGAACTAAGTTAGAAATGAAAACATTTCTTTCTCCATTTACCTGAGTACACTTAATCTTATATAGATTAAGCTGAGCTAAAACCTTAGGCAAAATTCAGCATGGTTCCTCTGTGGACCAGGTACTTCTAAAGCAGTTTCTTTCTTTCTTTCTTTCTTTCTTTCTTTCTTTCTTTCTTTCTTTCTTTCTTTCTTTCTTTCTTCCTTCCTTCCTTCCTTCCTCCCTCCCTCCCTCCCTTCTTTCCTTCCTTCCTCCCTTCCTTCCTTCCTTCCTCCCTTCTTTCTTTCTCTCCTCCCTTCCTTCCTTCCTTCCTTCCTTCCTCCCTCCCTTCCTCCCTTCCTTCCATTTGTAAGGCTTTTGTTGTTTTTGTTTTGTTTTGTTTTGTTTTATTTGCTTTACATACCAAGGGTGCCCCCTTCCTCCTTTCCTCCCAGTCCTTCCTCCCTCCACAACCCTTCCCTTCTCCCCTTCCCCCCAGAAAATGGGAGCCCCCCCCCCATCAACCCTCCCTAGCATACCAAATCACACCAGGATTGAGCACATTCCCGAGGCCAGGCAAAGCTGAAGCAGTTTCTAAACTGACTTAAAAAGTGAAAACCCACAGCCTCAAAACTCAAAGCCCTGGAGGGTGAAGAGTCAGATTTAAGTTAGGGTCTGAGTGAGAAAGACCCCCCACCCCCAAAGAGTGTGAGGATTGCCTCCTCCTCAGGCTCCAGCAGCCACCACAGTAAAAGAAGAGAGATGCCCATTCCTGCTGCCTCCCCATGATTTACGAACAGGAAAACCTCTTGTCTAACATCCCACTCTTCCTGACTTCTCTTAAACTGCTGCTCTTTGTCCTCAGAGCAGTTTTACCAAAATTATTGCCCGGGAGAGCCTCGACCTTTGTTCCCTACATTTCAGATAACCATTTGGACATTGCGAAAAAAAAAAAAAAAGTGCACTGTCTTCAAGTCTTCAAAGTAGACCCCCCCCGTCGCCCCCCCCCCCCGAGCCAGTCCATCCAGATATGCCACCATAGTTCAACCCCGACCCAAGGCCGGAGTCCCCAGCCAAGAGGGGACTCATGCTCTCCAAACACTGTGCAAACCCATCTCAGTGACTACCGTGGAGGCAGGTGTGTGTGAAGGAAGCCTCTCTAAGTTGGCTTCTAGGAAAGTTTTCCTCTTTACCTGAAGCCAGATCATCTCTTAGCCCACTCCTTAGGGCAGGGCCACAAACAAAGGCTTTCCCAGGTATTTGCAACACAGCACTTGCACGGCTTAGAACCCAGTGGGTCCCCAAAGGTGGTGGGGTCTCCAGGTCACGAAGACTCCATGGACCTAGCCTGGAGGCCACCTCCTTACACCACTGTGTGGCAGGGAGATGGTGCCCAGAGACAGGCTTACCTGGCTGACGATGGTGGAGTGGGTCTCCACGTAGCGCCAGCCGCCGCTGCAGGACACCAGGGGGGCAGAGCGGTTGGGGAAGGCAGCGAGTGGGTCGCAGCTGAGCTCGTGGCTGGTGTTGGCGGCTTCCAGCAGGTAGCGGTGGCAGTGGCCTTGGCCGCGGCGCTCAGCGAGGGCGCGGAGCTCCGGGGTGGTGAGGTTCCACTCCTCCTCCGGGCTCCAGGCGCAGCGCTCGGCCAGCGCCGTGGCGCGCGGCCCGCGACACCAATAGTAGTCTGGCTGGCTGCCCAGAAAGACCACGCCGACAAAGAGGAAGGCGAAGGTGACACCCGTCAGGCACAGCAGCAGGAACACGCGCCGCTGGAAGCGCCCGAACTCGCCCGCCTTCCTCAGCACCTGGTCGAACGTGGGCATGGTGCGCCCCGCCACCTCGCCTCCTGCCGCCCGCCGCCCAGCCTGCAAGTGACCCGCGGGCGCCGCCGCCCGCAGCTCTGCACCCGCCGCCCCCGCCTCGCTCTCTCGCTCTCTCGCTCTGGCAGCCCGCCCCGGGCCGCTCCTCCCGCTCCAAGCTCCCGGCCTCCTGCTCGTGCGCTCCCCGGGCCCGGGGTTGGGATGGGCTCGCGGCAGTGGCACCGTGCGCCAACGCCAAGGACCTGTAGCCTGCCCTAAACGGACGCCCGGGTTGGAGTTCCCGGAGTTCCAAGATCACCCAGCCTCGCTGGAGTCCCGACTCGACAGACTCCAGGAATAGCCTCGAGTGCTCTTAAGGCTGCTGGAGCCGAAGCCTCTGTGCTCCAGGAGCAGGGTTTCACACCTGGCCTTGCCTCATCACATGCCTAGAATCCGGGTAGGATGTTGACGACAGAGCAGAGACTGCGTAACCGAAATGGAGCAGAGGGACAGCCCGCAGGGCTAAGAGATTTGCTTAGTCCCAAAGTTCAAGAGGACAGGACCGCTTCAAAGCAAAGTCCTTTGCCTACATTCGTATCTTGAATCCCTGAGAAACAGTGTTGCTTAGCCGGTTTGAATCCATCCTCTTGGCGTCCTCGGTCCCCTCGAAGATCAATAGGATGCTCAGCATGTGTGATATGCACCCCATCTCAGGACCCAGCGCGTTACCAATCAGCTGCCAGGCTGTGGCTTCGGCAAAGATGACCAGGGTATCACTGTGATAGTACGCTCTACACACCGACTCTCATTTCTCTGCCCAGCTCTTCTCCCGGTTTCCATCTCTTGCCATCAGCCAGCCCAATTTAGCTAGCTTTCTCAAGGGATCCAAAGAGCGCAGATTGACCTACCTTCCCCACGCCAAGAACTCCAGAGCCAGGCTGCCTTGCTCTAGCCCATCTACATGCCCTTACTGCTTGTGACACATAGAAATCTAATCGGCCAGCCCCAATTGTCTCATCTTTTAAATGAGTCTAATAACATACCTACTTCGTAGGCTCCCCGTGGAGATTGAAGGGATTAGCAAGAGGAAACTACCAGAAAAAATGCTCAGGTATTATTTCATTCAATAATTGTTACCGTAGCTGTCTTTACTACTGAGAAAGCATCAGCCAGGGGTGGGCCCAAGAATTTTAGAACTGCTGAAATCATACCGCATAAAAAGTGCCCCCCCTCAAAAAACACGCCACCCACTTCCCCATCGCTTCTGTATCTGCATATCTCACACCCTGCTCTGGTCCCATTTGTAACTGTCTGTGGGGACCGCCAGACTGGGTCACCCCTCTCCAGCTCACTTCCTCCCCCTGACCTGGCTTTTGGTACAAGCACACCTGCCTGGCTCAGACTCAGAATCTCAGTACCTCTCACGCCTCCGTCTCTAACTCCAAACTCACCTGCAAGGTGAGGCTCAGCCCCTTTCCCCACACAAGCACACCCCCAGCTCCCTTTTCTGACCAGCTAATCCCTGTGTGTGTTTACTCACTCCCCTTACAGCATTACTCCATCGCTTGCTTTCCTCAGCTCGATTGCTCCCCCACATCCCAAGTTTCACACTGGGAGAAAAGTGTGCCCTGGACCTTCCCTTCTGAACAACAGTGGTGCACAGAAGGTGCTTAGCAAATGTTTGTGTGATAAATGCAGGCTGCTTGTCACGCTCCATCACTCTTATGTGTGCCCCACCTTTCTCTTCTCCTACTCCTCTCACCCCTCTGTGCCTCACAGATGGTCAGCTGCTCTAGGCACCGTGGCCCCTGTCCTCTGGACCAGCCTATCCTAAGGGATGACTGTCCAGGAGGCGGCTTGGAGGTTCAGCCTTCAGTAGCTTGCTTTGATCTCCAATCATCATTTCTCAATCTCATTTCTCAATGCTCTTTCGAAGTCTGACCCTAGTTCTCCCTCTGTCCCCTGCTTACATTCTCTCTGTTTCATGGGGGCCTGTCGGATTTCAGGGACATTGTTTGTATATTTGTGTGCTTTGCTCATTGATAAGCTTGTGCGGTAACTCCAGTGCCATCTTCTTAGACTGTGGATTACCGTCTGATTTCTCTTCCTACAAGAAATCTAAATTTGGATGGAATAAAGTATACATTTTTCATAGCCCCTGAATTTTGTGTCTTGCCATAAAAATCGCGTTTTACATAAGATTTCAAATGCTACCTCATATCCACATACATACACACACATACATATACACATACATATACTGCCTTGCACATGGTAGTCTGCGCTGAGCTGTACCCCTGGCCTTAATACAGCTTTGTTAAGTTGAATTTTTCACATTGAATCTTAGCATCTCTGTTATTTGCAGTTATTTCCGGTAGGATCTAATTTTACTGACATCTTCCATGTGGTCAGGCAGCTATCAGAAGGCACGTTACTTTGCCTGGATTTACGGCACTGTTTCTGTCTTTATGTGACTCCTAACAGCGCTGGAAGAACCTGACCAGTGCGCTTCATGCTGTCCGGTGGCTGTCTGTCCCAAGCTGCTCTCACTGTTCATAACTGTCCCTCTATCACAGTCCTAAGATCTCTAGAGCGAATCCCACCACTCCTCCCCCATACACCTCACCCTCTTCAGAATGAACCCAGCCATTCCGGGGGCTCTTATCTTCCAGATACACTTTACACATTGATAAATTCCATGCAGATTTGACTGTTAACTGGAACTTTTATTTAGAGTCATACGTACACTTCTGCTTTCCACCCGCCTCTGTTTTGAAGGGAGTTTGAGAGAGAAATCTCTCTCTTTAGCACACACACACACATGTGCCTCAGTTGTGTCAGGCAAGGTCTGTGCCACGTTGCCAGCCCTTTTTATCCTCAAAACACTCAAAACAGTTGGGTGTGCTGCAGCGCTCCTGTAATCCCAACACAGAGGCAGGGAGACAGCCACAAATTTAAGGACAGCCTGGTCTATATAGTGAGTTTTGAGTAGCCGGGGCTATACAGTAAGACGCTGTCTCAACAATAACAATAAGCCCATTGCATACTGTTCTATACCTGCACCAACCAAAGATAGGACAGCCACACACACACACACACACACACACACACACACACACACACACACCCTTAAACTCACATTCATTAAAAAGAAAAGATGACAAACTGTGTTCCTCCTGGCCACACCTGTTTAAGTAGCTAGCATGTGGCTTCTGCAGAAAGAGAATGGTTTTTGTTTTTTCTTTTTTCCGTCATCAGGGAACATTCTGGAGCGTATTACTCAGCTAGGTGCTGTTACCAACTAACGCTAGCTGGAGTTTCCAGAAACAACTGAAAATAGAACCCCTGGCCATCCCACCACCTATCTACAGCAGAAATAAAGTCATGTCACAAAGATGCTTTTCACTCCATGCTTACTGCGACACCATTCTAATAAGCAAGCTATGGAACCAATCTTGGCATCCATCCATAGATGAATTAAGAAAGTGTGCGTCAGTGGATGGATGAAATATAGGTAGGTAGATAGATAGATAGATAGATAGATAGATAGATAGATAGATAGATAGATAGATAGATATGTATAAAAAAATGAAATCCTCTGACTTTCAGTCTTGGTGGAACTGGAATGTATTGTGTTAAACAAAAAGAGCTGAACATAGGAAGTCAAACCCACATATTTTCATTCATGTGAGGAAGCTTAAAAGACTGAGCTCAGAGGAGAGACAGAGGATTAATGGTTGCTGAAGCCTGGGAGGGGTGAAGGAGGTGGAGACAGAGGTTATAGATCAGCTACCAAAATGAAAGCGAAGGAAGAATTAGTTCCAGTGTTCCCTGGTATAATAAGGTAAGCACAAGGTAGCACAACTAAGGTGCATTTCAAAACAACCAGCAAAGTCCAGAGGTTCACAACACAGAAATTAGCCTGATTTGGTAGTAACATATTATACCACACTCCATAAACATGTATAAGTAATATGTTAATTTGAAAGATAAAATGCCAATTGAATAATCATTAAATGCCCTTTGCCTCCAGCTTTTATAAAACATACTGCCATAACTGTTTTTTTTAATCACTTTTAATTATGCATGTGTGTCTGTATGTGGCTATGTGCACATGCGTGTAGGTACCTGCAGAGGCCAGAAGAAGGCACAGGATCGATAGAGCTAGAGCTCCAGACAGTAGTGAACCATCTGACACAGGTTCTGTTCTTCAAACAGCATCTCTCGGAGAACACCATGTGCTCTTAACCGCCGAGCCATTGCTCCCACTCTAGAAACGTGACTGTTACCGTTGGTTAATCTCAAAATCACATCTGTCATTTTGACAGTTTTAGACTGGCAAATACAAGGTGTTATAATATATCCACCACACATCAAAGTAAGCAAATCTCATTTATTCTGTTTGGACAAAGTAAAGCACACACTTCTGTGCACAGCCACATAAGCGCACACACACACACACACACACACACACAGTCACACAGTCACACACACATACATACATGCACGCATGCACACACACACGCACACATGCACACACACGCACACACCACACACACACACCACACACACACATACACACACACAAACATACACATACACACAGACACACACACACACACAGACACACACACACAATTTGTTTGTTTTAGAAAACCAGGATAAATGTTACAATGTAATATTTTTTAAAATGTATTGATATGATCCTGGCAGGTGAAATGGTACCAGCATGTTCTTAGGAGAGGGATCAAAAGGCCCCATATATTCTGTCCCTGATTTCAAGGAGTGGCGAAGAATGCCCCAGAGACTCATTCTTTCCATATTTGGCCCACTGGAGCAGCCCCTTCCGCCATCACGTTAGTGTAGCAAGAACTCCTCGGCACTGCTCTTACTCCACGGACTGCTGTAACTCTTCTTTTAGCCTGCGTTGATGCTTTAGACAAAAACGTGCCCCACCAAGTTCATATCTTGAAGCCCTCACTTCTACTGAGATAGTATTTGGAAACTGGTGGACAGTTAGGTAAGATGAGGTCATGAAGATGGGGGTCCCATGATGAGACAGTGACTTTCTGTAGAG